CTGGGCTCTCGATGGGAATCAGTAGATCTCCCTGAGAGCGTCCTGAATACTATCTCACAGGCTTGAGCCCCGTCTACGAGACGCCTCTATGCCCTTAAGTGGTCGGTCTTTTCCGCCTGGTGCACAACCCGTGGCGAAGACCCAGTTTCATGTGACATACCGGTGATATTGTCCTACCTTCAAGAGCTGTTGGACAAGGGCCGCTCCCCTTCCACGCTCAAGGTCTATGTGGCAGCTATAGCAGCTTCCCATGCTCCTATAGCCGGACAGTCTGTGGGCCGGAACAACTTAGTTGTCCGTTTCCTGAGAGGATTTAGGAGGCTCAATCCGCCCCGGTCCCCCACGGTCCCTGCGTGGGATCTGCCCACGGTCCTGAGAGCCCGCAAGGGTTCCCCCTTTGAGCCACTACAGTCTGCATACTTGAAAACCCTGTCGTTGAAAACCGCTCTGCTACTGGCTTTAGCATCGGTTAAACGAGTAGGTGACTTGCAGGCTTTCTCGGTAAGTCCTGCCTGTCTTAAGTTTGGGCCTAACGACTCCAAAGTCGTCCTAAAACCAAGACATGGGTACGTTCCTAAGGTGCTCTACACCCCGTTTAGAGCCCAGGTTATTACTCTCTCTGCGCTTCCTCCTTCTGAGGAGGACCAGGAGTTTAACTTTCTCTGCCCGTTTAGGGCGCTGAAAATGTACATAGAGCGTTCTGCCCCGTTCAGGCGGTTGGAACAACTTTTTGTATGCTTTAGTGGCCGCACCAAAGGTCCCCCGGTCACAAAGCAGAGGATTTCTCGATGGTTAGTTGATGCTATCGCGCTAGCATACTCCTCCCTGGGTCTTCAGAGCCCCATAGGAGTCAAAGCCCATTCCACTTGGGGCGTGGCCTCGTCCTGAGCGTGGTCTAGCGGTGTGTCCATAACAGATGTTTGTGCGGCGGCCGGCTGGGCCTCGCCGTCCACTTTCACCAGGTTCTATAACTTGGATGTTCCGGCCTTGCAGGCACGGATTCTATCTGCTTAAATGGATATGTGCCGGCCGGCTGGGCCTCGCCGTCCACTTTCATCAGGTTCTATAACTTGGATGTTCCAGCCTTGCAGGCTCGGTTTCTATCTGCTTAAATGGATACGTGCCTGCCTAAGGCAGTCTAATTCTTCAGGCATTGCCTGTTTTTTCAGGTACGCTCTTGGCCTTTTCAGTAGTGCTGAGGCTGTACAAAACCGTTGGAACGATTATCCAAGGCTAGACTGACCTCAGTGAGTTCAGCCTCTTGCCTCCTGCAGGGCTCACCCTGCGTATAATTGGTCCCTCTGAGCCTTTTATGCTCAAATGCCAAGACGCTGCACGACTCAGTGTCGTCACTTTAGTTGAATTTACCTGAGATCCTATGGTGAAATGCCCGCTTATATAGCCAGATGGCCCCGCCCATTCTGACGGCCTTCGTCGCCATAGGATCGTGCAGCTCCGCTGCCGAGCCATTGGTTCGTTTTTTATTTACTGCACGAACCAATGGCCGTGCAGTTACACTGCGTGATTGTAAAGGCTTCAGTCCTCTGAGAAAAATGAGTTTTTCCCCATAGCGTCTAGCGACGCAGTACTCATTCCCGTATCTCAGGGAACCGAGGTTACGTAAGTAACAGAGTACGTTAATTTTCGTAAGGAAAGGCTATCAATTATTAATGTAAATGTATTCATGTTATTAATGTATTTTACTGTCTTAATTGTTTAAATTTTTATAATGCTACCAGTTCACATTTACAACTCTGCGTGTTTGCAGTGTAAAAACATGGGTTGATTTTCACATTGGTCCGATCAAAAACAGCAGCTCTGCCAGCTGGAGGCGCTTTTGAAGTGCCAGAAATATAACTGTTTCCCGGTAACAGCAGAACACAAAGCAGCACAGCACCGGACATTGAAACGTGCAGCGCTCATGTTTATTTAATAAATTCATAGCCTTTGGAAATTGAATCGTCACATTCAGCCATATCGCAATTCTTTTCCCCAAATTTAAGACCTCTTGAAATCATAATTAAGACTTTCTTGAACAAGGACTATTTCAAAACTGTTTTTGATCACTGTCTCCGTTTATGGTATTAAACATTCTGCTAAACATCTCAATTATAATAAAGTCATATGGCATATGAGAATCTGGTTTCATTCTCAAGTGTCTCACCTGCATCATTGAGCCATTTCTCCAGTAGAGGTTTGAGTTTGCACATGTTCTTGAAGCTCAGGTTCAAGGCCTCAAATCTGGAAATGGTGGTTTGGCTGAAGTCGTTCCCATAGAGTTTCCCCATCGCCGACCCCACGTCACCCTGAGACACAGAATCATACGTCAGTGTCATGCATGACAACTCAATCATGAACACAGATGACACAGCTCACCTGTGTGAAGCCCAGCTTGATGCGCCTCTGTTTGAAGTTCTTTGCGAACTGCTCAAGCTCCTCGAGGTCACTGGCCTCCTCCACACACGGCGCGTCCATGCACTTTGGAGTGGCCGCCGCTGGAGCTGGCATGGCTGCAATCTTGCTCGTCGGTGTGGCCGCCTGCGAAATCAGACCACCTCCATCAATACACACCATGTCCATTAACATGGACCACCTCCATCAATACATGGATCAAATATGTAGAAGAACATCAGTGAAGGGATTTCATTAGTTTTTTTTATTTTATTTTTTTCCATTTTAATTTTTCCGGACTTAATTTTAATGGGGTTAAATAAAATTTTAGCAATCAAAAAGCATGTCTAATTAATTGAAATCATGAAGCTTTTACAATTTAACACCATTTTTTTAAGCTTAACAAAGACCACATTTTTAGGGCCCTATGAAACATGTTTTATTTTTTCTCAAATTACGTTTGATATTTTACCAAAGTGTGTGTTTTCCTTTTTCTGGATTCTGGATAATGTCTAATCAATTGAATTAATAAATCAACTTTATTATTCTTATTATATATATATATAAGGCCCTATGTAATGTTTTCAGAAATTCTGTTATTATTTAAAAATTTCTAGTAATCAAATGAAGACATAAAACATTAACAATTTAATAATTTTTTTAATCAAATGAAAATTAAACAAACCCTTTCATTTTTTGGCAAACAAGGAAGAAAATGTGATTATTCCCTAAAAAAATAAAGTTTTAATTACTATTATATTATATAATATATTATAATCATTCTGTTTATTTTTATTATTATTGCTGAGACACATACACAACATGCAGACTTTAGATTTGCAGTCTTTGTCACAGACACTAGTCCATATTAGCATTTGATTAAGTGTACAGCCCTACTTTTAATTTATTCATCCAGAATTGTCCAAATTCTATGACATTCCGCATTACACAGTAAATTCCATTTTTATGACTAGATTTTGTGATTCCCTCCATGTTTTTGCATCGCAGCAATCAAGCCTCGAGTCTCTTTCGTTTAAAAACATTCAGCGAAGAACCATACCAACAAGATCTGAGATGAACTACAACATTACAGATACATTTATGAGATTGTTTATGAGGGAATGAACTGATGCACTGAGAATCACAAACGATAGTAAAGTGACAGTATAAATAGCATATGGCTGAGGTTTGATCAGTGTTGTGACCTGTGTGGTGAGGGTGATGCTGGTCTGAGTTGGCAGGAGGCTAGCTTGGCTTTGAGGTAGTTGAGTCAGGAGATTTTGAGCTTGCAGGAGACCTGAGACAGACACAGACAAGTTAGAAATTATCAGAGGCGGACAGTAACTAAGTACATTTACTTGAGTATTGTACTTAAGTACACTTTTTGAGTATCTGTACTTTACTTGAGTATTATTTTTTCTGGAAACTTATGACTTTAACGTCACTACATGATGATGAGGAGCAGCAGCATCACAACACATCGGAGACACTCTTACCTGTCTGACCCTGAGGTGACGGTGATATGATGAACTGTGGCTGAATCTGAGAACTGATGGAGTGACCTGGCTGAACCCACACGAACTGCTGCAGGTTCAAACCCTGCGGCTGCAGCTGCTGCAGGATGAAAGAAAGACAGAGATTGAGACTGTTCTGTGCCCTGTTTAACAGTATTTAAGTTCATTTTGTTGAACTTTCAAATGTCGAACAAGGCACATGTATGGAAGAAAAATAATGCCATATGTCTTTGAAACAAAAAAGCATGTTGAATAGCACTAACTGAAAAAAATTATGCATTGCATTAACAGTGCTTGCATTTTAATGCCTTGTATTTCCAGGGCTTGCATTTTAGGTCCTGAAATTTAACATAGTTGTTTATTTAAGCTGTGAATATTTCAATTCAAAATATTTCACACACATTTTCATAATTAAAAATTAAATCATTCATATTCACCTTCCAGAATTCACTTCCAAAATATTCAATCTGTTTAAAGATACTATGTATAATATTCGACAGGCAAATTTCGGTCCACTTTATTTCACTTTCCAAATTCGCTTCCTCAAATTCAGTACAGATGCATGATCTCCATCTGCTGTCAGTTGCTCACCAGCAGGTGGGGCAAGCGGCTGTTGATGAAGACCAAAGTCATTCATTCACAAAAACTGATCTGCAGAAATGGAGCAAGTGCAAAATAGAAGTTTGGATTATCGGGGCCAGTATAAACATGTGAAAAAGCTGATTGTGTGTATGTTTAATTCAACATCTTTGCTGTTTCCCGTAGCCTACAAAATGTAAGCAGCGTTCTCTACCACAAAGGAGATTATAATGCTATTTTACCCAATGCTGAAGTACAGAACTAACATTACATCTGAGGAAGACATACAGTATATTGCTTTCGGTTGCTTAGTTTCCGTAACTTTGTATCATGGCTTGTGTGACGCTGTGCTGTAATACTGGGGTTCCCCTCATATGCGTAACCGCACCTCAGTGAACTAATACAGTGATATAAGACCTCAGATCTCAGAATAGACTTTATTGATGATACGAACTAAATCGACAGTTAAGCAGATGTACAATATGAACGAACGCGCAAGGTTTCACGCTGTTTCCCTCAGAAATCTGTTAAAGAAAACGCATTACGCGGCTCAGTGCACTAACGCAATGACAGCTATTAAAAGACAAAACTCAGATCTTACTGAAGATAAACTATATACAGGAAGATGAGGATATGAACACAAGTTACGGAACGCAAACATTTCCCATAAAGAAAACACTTAACATGGTTTATTGCCTCAAGACAGTCATAATAAATGATTAAATTCGGCATCTAATTAATAAAATATATTACTGTATATTATGTACATTTAAGCAGATGAGCCCAGAATATGAGACCACAATATGAGCCAGCAACCCACAAAGTTTCACCAAACCATTTTTTCTCCCACAGAAAACCAAGCCAGTAGTTTTAGGTTAGATATTCGCTGCATATTCGCCGCGGCACTAGGCTATTTTAGGGACCATCTGCAAATTTACCTCACAGTGCAAAACGAAGTCCAATAATTTATTTAAATTAATGTTTACAGTAAATTAATAATTTACTCAAACTGACTAAATATATATTGCCAATAATTTTCCGTATGTATGTAGCCTACACTACACAAATATTTTTAAGAAAAACTGTACAGTAATTTACCAAAATGGGGTTTTTCGTGTTCCAAATGTTGTATGTTACTAGTATTTTACTTGTGACCAGACTGACTTAATACAGTTGAAATTTTGCCAATATCTTCCTCACTGTATATACAGTATATAATTATTCTTAAGAAATTACTGTAATTCACAAAGTTTTTTTTGTGTTCCAAAGGTTGTAGTACTTATAGTGACTAGACTGACTTACTATAGGTGAAATTTTGCTAATACCTCCCTTACTGTACATAAAGTACATCAATATTTTATAATACAACCTTTGGAACATGAAAAATCCCTTCTCTGGTCTTACAGATTTATTTTTTTTAAATAATTGTGAATGGTACATACAGTAAGGGAGATATTGGCAAAATTTCACATGAAGTAAGTCACTCTTGTAACTAGCAATGTACTACAACCAGTGGAACATGAAAAAAACCTTTTGGTGAATTACTGTAATTTAAAAAAAAAGATATTTGTGTACTGTACATACCGTAAGGGAAATGTTGGCAAAATCTAACCTGTATGTGGAACATGAAAAAAACCTTTTGGTGAATTACTGTAATTTAAAAAAAAAAGATATTTGTGTACTGTACATACCGTAAGGGAAATGTTGGCAAAATCTCTCCTGTAGTAAATCACTATGAGCAATACAAATTTGACTGTGTTATTTTAAATGTTAAAAGTCATTTTAATTAAAATTTGGTTTTTACCCAGTCGGTGGAATTGTCAGACAGTCCCTTGGGTGAGAGCACGTCAAAGCTTTCTCCAGTTTAAATTTGCAGCAACAATACACCTAGGCAGTTTTGAACTCCTTTTTTTGTCGATATAACGTGGTTGCATATTGTTAAAACTAATCGTGGTGTTGATATCTTTGTAGGACTGTCGACTCTATAGATCAGTGGTAAGGGAAAGCAATTATATAAAAAAAATTAAAACCTCATTTGCTTGCCTGTATATAGTTCGCATAATCATCAATAAAATCTATTCTGAGATCTGAGGTCTTATATCACTGTATTAGTTCACTGAGGTGCGGTTACGCATATGAGGGGAACCCCAGTATTACAGCACAGCGTCACACAAGCCATGATACAAAGTTACGGAAACTAAGCAACCGAAAGCAATATGTCTTCCTCAGATGTAATGTTAGTTCTGTACTTCAGCGTTAGGTAAAATAGCATTATACTCTCCTTTGTGGTAGAGAACGCTGTTTACATTTTGTAGGCTACAGGAAACAGCAAAGATGTTGAATTAAACATACACACAATCAGCTTTTCCACATGTTTATACTGGCCCCGATAATCCAAACTTCTACTTTGTGCTTGCTCCATTTCTGCACATCAGTTTTTGTGAATGAATGACTTTGGTCTTCATCAACAGCCGCTTGCGCCACCTGCTGGTGAGCGACTGACAGCAGATGGAGATCATGCATCGGTGCTCTACTGCCATTCCTGCAGCTCCCGAATGTGCAATGGCAAATTTTCTGCCGAATTTTAACCACTGAACTTGTGGAAGCGAATTTGGAAAGTGAAATAAAATGGACCAAAATTTGCCTGTCGAATATTATACATCGTATTTTTAAACAGATTGAATATTTTGGAAGTGAATTCTGGAAGGTGAATATGAATGATTTAATTTTTAATTATGAAAATGTGTGTGAAATATTTTTAATTGAAATATTCACAGCTTAAATAAACAACTATGTTAAATTTCAGGACCTAAAAATGCAAGCCCTGGAAATACAAGGCATTAAAATGCAAGCACTGTTAATGCAATGCATAATTTTTTCAGTTAGTGCTATTCAACATGCTTTTTTGTTTCAAAGACATATGGCATTATTTTTCTTCCATACACATGTACAGGCCCGTTTAAAGTTTGCCAATGAATATCTAAATGATTCAGAGAAGGCTTGGGAGAAAGTGCTGTGGTCAGATGAGACCTAGCCAGTCTCCAGACCTCAATCCTATAGAAAATCTGTGGAGGCAGCTGAAACGCCAAACGACAAACGACAGCCAAGAAACCTTAGGGATTTAGAGAGAATCTGTAAAGAGGAGTGGATCAAAATCCCTCCTGAAATGTGTGGCACTTACGTCCCACTCTCACATTCCAGTTCAAAATACACAGAGTTATGTCTATTCTCAGATGCATCCAACACAGCTATAGTTGCGGTGGCCTATCTTTGAGTTATCACTGAAGTTTCAGTAAAGAATAAATGAATTTCCAGTACCGAAAAAATTACCTCTGATACTAGATTAATTTAAAAATGGCTATCCTTGTACAGCTATGATCAGCTGTTCTTCCATCTTGGCTTAGCTTTCACTGTTATTACTGAAAGGCTGAAGCGGATTGGTTGGTTCTTGTCAAATGATGCACGGTGCACTTGCGGCATTCTGAAAAGTTGAGACGTTTTCATCTCGCTGTGGCGCATGGAAAAAAACGGGCGAGTCGCAGTGCATGAGAGTTGCGACTGCTTCGCTTCTATTATGAGCGCACTTGTCGCATGTCTACATTTATAATATTGTAGCATGTTCAAGCATGTTGTGTTATAGATAACAATGTGCTTAATGTTAGTGTTGCACTGTATTCATTTTTGTGTTGCGAACTGTTATTGGATGTTCGAGTTGGATGTGAAAAGAGGCTCCGCCCCTGTGTGTAGTAAGGGGAAAGAGAGAGAAGGAGGGGAAGGAGTGCCTCGCTGGTTCAAGTGCGGTTCTATTAGAAGTCGGGGTGTGTACGGCGTGGGTTGTGGCCGACAACAGCCCAAATAAACACCCCTTGTACATCAAAACGCCTCGTCCTTGTCTGAGAACGCTACAATATGTATAACGAACTTGAGTGCACAAAAGAAGTGACATATTAACAGCCCCATCTAACTAGGGAAGAATGATTCTGATTTTATTACATTTGGTGTAAACGGCGATTGATAATGGATAATGTATTGACAGTAACAAGGTCGCATCAGTTGAGGCTCGAGCAGCCTGTCTGTGTGTGAGAGAATCTCCGTGAAGAAATCAAAACAAATGAACACAACTGCACACAGAAGAAACATGTGCAGTAAAAATGTTGTATAGTTTTTATAACATTTAGCCTAGTTAAGCAACATGACACGACTAAGAGAGAGAGCACGATTGCAAATTTGACATTGTTTTTATACAAGAGTTCAAACGAGTAGTTAATATTAAGTGATTTACATTTTAGTACAATATTGTCAGTGTTGACTGTTTTTGCTCGATTTGATTAATGAAAATAGTTCCAAACAAAGGTCACAGCAGAAAGAGTCGTGCATCTCTGAGCAACACACAGTGGTGTTTTGTTACTGAATGATTCAGCGTTTTTTTTTAAATTAATCATGAGTCAATGATTCAGTGGTTCATTCATAAAGACAGTCACTTGCTTCGTTCTTAAATGAATCAGCCATCCGAACAAATTGTTTGAATTAATGCCTCAATGATTCACTCATTAAGACCACCTACTGGCGGTTTACTTGCATATTTAAAAGTAGCTTATCTTAACATTTTTTCCCTAACATTTCATATTTGTATATTAAAAAATTATTTAAAACACTAAGCTCATATTTATACTGTTGTTATTTTGCAGTGTAAATGCATTCATACTACATTTCAGCTTCATTAAGCTCTCTGTGTAAATGCATCTAAACACTTCAGCTGCTTCTCTTTCTTCTGCAGTGGAAAAATTGGTTGTGTTACTACTGATTTCATTAGCTTAGTACCAGACCTAGAGTGTCTTATTATATGAAATTAAATTATTGATAAAAATGTAACAATTTAATATGAAAGATAATGCATGTGTGGCGGGACAGTAAGGCAGAGAAATAAATAGAGGAAAAGACCACAACCTTGACCTAAAATTTGCAATAGCCCACTACGCCACCTAGGGAATTCCACCCCAGGATATAAACCACTCAACCATACAGGTTCGGTCTACCCAGAAATGATTGAGATGTTTCTGCCAGTTAAAACCAATGTTTTATTACATCAAAAAATAATTTTCTGTTTAAAAACAAGGAAGTCACAATTCACAGGGGGACATGTTCGATACAAATACCTTTTAAATACCCATAAAAAAAAAAAAGAAAAAAAAAAAGAATACCAATTAAAGTATATTATGCTAACTGGGGGAAGAATAAACAAAAACAACTAAACTGAAAGCACCACCTGGGTCGCTGAGAGCACTTATAAGGGAAAAAATCCTAAACCCCCCGACAGACAAGCCCTCACACTCTAGTGCTCTCCACACGAATGAAAAACAAATGTGTTCCACACGGCACCCCAAAGAATAAATGGTGCATCTCTCTAGGTCCCCAAAGGGAGAACTCTCAGCACTGACAAAGAAATACAAAAACAAATATACAACTACACAAAAAAAAAAGAAAAATAAGGGAAAGAAAACTACAGATATATGCAAAACATTAGGGTACGTGACTAATCATCCCCGTAAATCACTGACAGTATATCACAGCAGACGTCTTGATCACTATTACCCAAAAAGTTAGGAAAAGAAAACTAAATAAACCCTTTAATATTCCTAAAACCATCAAACAAACAGCTGACACAAAGAAAGAAGAAAGAAAATCTAATAAAGACAACGAGGGCAATAAACACAGCAGAAACCATACAGACAAAACAGCAGCGCAGTCTGGGTCCGTACGTCCTGCCAAATATTGACCCACTCCACGGCTCCACGCTGGAAATAAGCCGATAGGCACTTCCCCTCAACCTGCACACAGACACTAACATCCATGAAACTTATAAATATAAAACCACCCCCCATAAAAAGATCATACACACTGGGTCAATCCGACTGATATGAAAGAGCTCCCGCTATGACATATCTCGCTACACCTGAACTGCAGGATACAGACTTGGGTTACACACCAGTACTACACCTCTCACCTATGGAATTCCATTCATCCACATACCTGGGTTTAAACAGAGGAAGGACTGGAATAGAAAACCCAAACCACACGACTCCGCCAGGCAAGGGTGACACAACAGAAAACGTGAGGTGTGGGAAATTAATCAAGTGCTCACTACGCCACTGGCAGGCTCTACTTTTATTGTGATACAGTCATGTTAATCATTCACCAGCCGGTGATGGAAGCAGCTAAACCTGTAGTGAGTTCCTCCTATTCTCCAGCAGAGGGGGTTGTGGTAGCAATATTCATTCCATCACACATGCATTTAATTAGGTTAGGGGAAAAGGCCTTTTATATATATATACATATATATATACACACACACACACACACACACACATATATATATATATATATATATATATATATAAAATAATTGCCTACTGTAAATGCTTGACAATGCCAATAAAGCTTTGATTATGCTGTAATTTTTACTGGAAGTGCAGTTTAAAGGTTGAATTTAACATATATTTTTATTTTATTTTATTTCAGCTAATTAATAGACTATAATTTAGTTGAGGAATGAATTTGCAAATGAAAACACAACATGCTCATTTATCGTCACACACTGGCACAATCATAAAGTCAAAACTTTATTGGCATAGCTGTCAGGCAAATATATGGTAGCATATTAATAATAATTAGAACGTTAATTAGGTAAAGCGATACAATTGAAAGGGGAAATACAAAAATAAATATAAAAATATAGCCCTAAACCAGTTAATATAATAATATTATATTACAGTTTAATAATAATAATAATACACATAATAATAATATACAAATATTAAATAAAAAGACACAATCAGTTAACGAATTTACGGGATTGATAAAAATGTTTATCCATCTCTGATAATCGCAGGTTGCTATGGTCACACAGGTTTGTTTATGCATCAAACTCCTGGCATTAAACTCGAGAAATGGATGTTGTTCCTTCAAAATAGGATCTCGAGGCCACGACTTCACATCGCGTGGCCACGACATAAGGATGACGTTACCTCGACAAAATGATCTCGTGGCCACGACATTTTATCACATTCCCACGAGTTAATATGTAGTGGCCACGACAAAAATAAGTGAACTGAACATGTCCCCTCCCGGTCACCGTAAGTATTAATTTCTTTGACCTTAAACAAGTTTGAACAGTATTCTGTGTCTTACTAACAGAAGTGGGCACCAGAAAAATAATTTATTTTGTTTTTAAGGACTGAACCAGTTGTGAATGAGCAGCAATTCTCAATCTGAGACAGACGTTTATGCTCTGACAGAAGTAATGCATCCAGTGTTAGAGGGAGTGTCAGTAATCTGGAATCTGATTGGACAGTGAGATGTCACTTACAGACACGATCTGAATGGGCTGGGACAGTGTGATGGGCATGGCCGCAGAGGCAGAGATATTGGCTCCAGTGGTGCTGGTCTGTTGACTTGCAGACTGCTGCACGGCTGCGGCAAGGAGCTGCGCCTGCGTTTGCTGCAACAACAACTGTGCTGGAGTCAAACTCAACTGCACAGAGAGAGAGAGAGAGAGAGAGAGAGAGAGAGAGAGCGAGAAAAGAGGATCTGTGATTGACAGCTGCTCAAACACACACAGACACTCCTCATTTGAGTCCAGGAGAGTTTGAAATTTACTTGCTGCTAAACTTCACAACACTAATAAGCACAAAAATACAATGAAATGGGGTAAAACACAGTCCCTCCAAGATTTCATGGGACTTTTTTATGATTTTTGACTGATTTTGCAATGACTTTTCTCAAAACTTGCGGCAATATTTGCATTTCTTGTGTTGTTTTGCAGTGAAAATATAACACAGACAACATTGTTATAGCATTTTAATTACTTTTCTGACCTAAAGAAACATTGGGCTCCGTGATTTATAAAAAGAGAAAACAGAAAAATAAACTTAAAGGGATATTACCCCATGATGTACTCACTCTCGAGCCATCCTAGGTGTGTTTTGAAGCAAAATAATGCAATAACCTGCATCCATCCATCCATCATAAAAAGTACTCCACACTGCTCCGGGGGGTTAATAAAGGCCTTTTGAAGCGAAGCGAAGCGAAGAGTTTGTGTAAGAAAAATATCCATTTTAAACTTTATAAACCGGAATCTCTAGCTTCCACTAACTGTTGAACACACGTTCACAAGAGAGTGATGATGTAGGACGTAGGTATGAACTATCCCTTTAAGTGTTGTCCTCTTAACCCTACAAAGCCTACTGAATCATATTTAATACATGAAATTCTAAATTATCAACATGATCAAAACTGTTTAAAAATCTCTAATACATGAGTAAAATCATTAGCATTAGAAAAATCATGTTAAAATGTACACTGTAAAAAATGATTGTAATTTTAACAGTGAAAGACTGTAACAATACTACAGTAAAAACCTGTTAACCGGTTAACAGTAAGTTTCCATACTATATTCGGTGAATAAATGTAATTACATTTAATGTAATTTTACAGTAAAATACTGTAAAGAGTGAAAAAGAAAAAGTCACTGTAAAATTTACAGTGACAAACCGTAAATTGACACTCCCAGAATTCCCTGCATGACACTTCATATTTGATGTTTTTTTGTTGTTGAAATAACATGTTTCTTAGTTTTTTCTTATCAGTTGTGTACATTAGGGGTTAATCTTACATGTTTAATTAATGTTGTTAAATTAATGTTTATTGCATTATTTCAGTAGCATGTGTGTCACCATGATGGGGTTTAGTGTTTGTGTGAATGACACTGTGCACCTTCTATGTATAAGTACTGCCCTCCTCAGCTCATAGAAAAGCTGTTTGTGATGAGTTGTGGTTCATCATGTGACTGATTACCACCAGTTTTGGTCCGTCCATCTATCGCTGTTCTCCATACTTGCGAAATAAGTTGACACAATGTTTACACAGCGTTTTAAATCATGGCGGGTGAGGGTGTTTTCATATGCGTTTGGCCAATCAGTGTCTACTTACATCACGATTAGTACCAGTTGTGCTGGTTAGACCCTGCTCCGGAGTAGGAGCTAATTTGGTTCTCGAAAAAGGCAGTCCGGTACTAAAATCGCACCCAGTTCCGGCGGTGCGAAAACGCCAAAAAGTGGGTAGTTCCACAATTAGTTCTGGTACTATGAAAAGGTTCCCGCGGTGCGAAAGGCCCTAATGTGAGTGTCCCACTTTAGGTCCTGAGAGATTGTGGTGCCCAGGAACCTGAATGACTCCACTGCAGTCACAGTGCTGTCCATGATGGTGAGTGGGGGGAGTGCAGGGGGGTTTCTCCTGAAGTCCACGATCATCTCCACTATTTTGAGCATGTTGAGCTCCAGATTGTTGAGACTGCACCAGACAGCCAGCTCTTTAAACTCCTGACTGTAAGCAGACTCTTCAC